TTTTTTTTAAAGATTTTATTTATTTATTTGACAGAGAGAGACACAGCGAGAGAGGGAACACAAGCAGGGGGAGTGGGAGAGGGAGAAGCAGGCTTCCCAGGGAGCAGGGAGCCCGATGTGGGGCTCGATCCCAGGACCCCGAGATCACGACCCGAGCCAAAGGCAGACGCTTACCGACTGAGCCACCAGGCGCCCCTAAACCTTTTTATTATATCTGAAGGAAATACAAGGATCATTGTGCAGAGATAACCATGCAGGGTTGTTCAGTGCAGAGTTCTAATAGCGGATAAACCTAGAAAAAAACTGCATGACCATTGGCAAAATGGGTAAAACAATCACGACAGTGCAACCATTCAAAAGAATGAGGGAATGAGGGAGATTTACATGTGCGCATTTAGAAAAATGTCCTCTGTAAATCCCAATGAAAGGAAACAGGTTACAAAAAGTATATACTGTAAAATTCCATTTCTGTAAATATGTATATATCTATGTTTTTTTTAGTATAGTTGACACCATGTTACTTAGTTTCAGGTGTACAACTTAGTGATTTGACAAGTTTTATGCTTTTTATTTTTATTTATTATTTTTTAAGGATTTTATTTCTTTTTAAGTAATCTCTACACCCAACATGGGGCTCAAACTCACAATCCTGAGATCAAGAGTCACCTGCTCTGGGGCACCTGGGTGGCTCAGTTGGTTAAATGTCTGACTCTTGATTTTGGCTCAGATCATGATCTCAGGGTCGTGAGATCGAGCCCCACATCGGGCTCCACACTGGGTGTGGAGCCTGCTTAGGATTCTCTCTCTCCTTCTCCCTCTGCCCCCCACCTCCGCTCTCTCCCTGTCTTTCTCTCTCTCTCTTTTTTTAAGATTTTATTTATTCATTTGAGAGAGAGAGAGAGCACGAGCAGAGGAGAGAAGGGAGAGGCAGAGGGAGAAGCAGACTCCCCGCTGAGCAGGGAGCCTGACTTGGGGCTCGATTCCAGGACCCTGAGATCATGACCTGAGCTGAAGGGAAACACTTAAGCATCTGAGCCACCCAAGGGCCCCTCTCTGTCGCTAAAAAAAAAAAAAAAAAAAAGTGTCGCATGCTCTACCCACTGCCCAGGCACCCCTATGCTTTTTATTTTTTAATCCAAAAGAATATAAAGTTAACAGAACTTTTTCTGGGGAATAAAATTGGAGGAATTTTTACTCTCTAGATATTGTTAGAATTTTTTATCAAATTGTAATAGAGGATTTACTATCCAACTACAATAGATATTTTCATGAGAGGGGAAGGAGGTTATTGTTAATATTTGCCAGAGAACCTACCAGAAGCTGGACTGCAGTGGGTTTTGGAGTAAGAAGAAGCTGAGAAGGTGGTGGGACATTGTTTTTCCAGGGAGGGACATTGTTTTTCCAGGGAGCTGATCCACACGGGAAAGAGAAATGGCTAAAGAAGTTGACCCTGGAAGAAAGAGGAAGTTATTTTTAAGAATGGACAGGCTTAAACATGTGCAGAGACAGTGGGGCAGAAGGGAGTAGAGAGAAGTAGGGGATGTGTCGGGGGAGGGAGGTATCTGTGGGCAGAGTCTCAGAAGGCCAGGTGGAAGAATTCATCTAGAGCCAGAGAGGGGACACCTTTTCCTTGATAAAGAGGAGCAGTCCTCTTCTCAAGGATTTAAATTCTGTCTCATAGGAAAATGAGATGATGCATTTTTTTTTATTAAAAACTCTAGGGGTGCCTGGGTAGCTCAGATGGTTAAGCGTCTGCTTTCGGCTCAGGTCAAGATCTCAGGGTCCTGGGATCGAGCCCCACATCAGGCTCCCTGCTCAGTGGGGAGTCTGCTTCTCCCTCTCCCTACACCCTCTGCCCCCGCCGGCTCATGCTCTCTCGCTCTCTCTCTTTCTCAAATAAATAAAATCTAAAAAAACCAAAAAAACAAAACTATAGTACAGACAGAGTGAAAAAAGTCAGTTGTGGGGCTGAATCTGTTCTAGGGGAATTTAAAATGGGGCAATGACTCCCTCCTTTGGGGGGTGGGGAAGTCAGAAAAGAAGTCTGGCCAGAGCTGGTCCTGGCTCTGAGTCTTGAGACCCCCGGCTCTGCTCGCCCTGCAGATGTATGTGACACGTCATGACTAGCAAGGAAATCTTGTGGATGGCCCAGGCCAGTGACATCCTAACCTTTTGGGGTGCAATCAGAATTTTGCCCCCCTAAAAGCCTGGGGAGCCCAAAGCCCTGGGGTGTAGCGTGGATATATTTCTCACTTAAGAACACGCCCTCTTACCTTCCCTCCCAAGGTTTGGAAGCACAGTTGAAAGCTGGAGGCCCGAGATGGCTGCCGTGAGCCATGAAAACCTACAAAGCGCCTGGCGGTAGGTGACCCCTGGCGGTAGGTGACGGTCGGAGATTGCGCCTGCCGTGTGGGAGGGCAGCCTCTGGGGTACCGTTTGCTCTGTCCCCCTCTCCGGTGGACTCTCCGCCCTCCCCCCGCCACACCCCCAGGGCCTCCCTCAGCTGGCCCTCCTCACCTCCCAGGTGGGCCCTGACTCTGCGCTGTCAGGGAAGCAGGAATGTCCTCAGCGCCCTGCGGAAGGCTGTGGAAGTGGACTTCAAGGACAAAGACAAACACCAGTCGCAGGGCATCTACCTCTTCACGGGGGGCATCCCTGACCAGGACATGGTGGGTAGGCCATACATCTTCTACTAGGTGGATGCCTTAGCAACGGATTTCTCCAGTCTGATTTTCCAAACTAGACTTTTTTTTTTAAAGATTTTATTTATTTATTTAACAGAGAGCGATAACGAGAGAGGGAACACAAGCAGGGGGAGTGGGAGAGGGAGAAGCAGGCTTCCCGCCGAGCAGGGAGCCCGATGTGGGGCTCGATCCCATGACCCTGGGATCATGACTCGAGCTGAAGGCAGACACTTAACCGACTGAGCCACCCAGGTGCCCCTCCAAACTAGACTTTAATGTGCAGAAGAATTACCTGGGGTTGTTGTTAAAATGCAGATCCTGTTCCTGAAGGCCTGGCCTGGGACCTGAAAGTCTGCCTTCCCAGCAAGCTCCCAGGAGATGTCCATGCTTCTGGTCCCCTGACCACACTCAGCATGAGCAGGCTCTCAGGTCCACTCCCCGGCCATGCCCTATTAAGACAGAGAAACTATGGCCCAAGCTCAGTTATCTTTCTATCCTTGGTGCCATGTATTAGACCTGGCACCCAGTAGGCCCTGGGGAAAGAGGATTAGGCTCAGAGGACCTGAGGCCAGTCCCTCCAAGAGCCCTCAGCCGCGGGGCCCTCCTGCCCTCTCTCCCCGCACAGCCCATGCTCAGCGCCTACATGGCCGAGGCCTGTGGGGGCTGCGACCTCCAGCTGAACGTGTGTCTCTTCTACGTGGGTGAGCCTCAGATGGACATCACGCCCCCTGCCCACTATGCCAGCCGCACTGACACGAGGGCCGCCTACCGGGAGATCACCCAGGCTACTGCTGGGCGCTTCCACTGGTTTGGAGACACAGGTGTGTGAGGGTTGGCAGGCCCCTCCACCTCCTTCCTTCCAGAAAGTTGTCTCGGTACCAACATAGCTCCCCGCGCCGTAGATGTGTTCCAGGAAAGGGGCATGTGAAAATCCCATTCGGAAATCTCCAGCATTCCTATTCTGGAGACGGATGGTGGTCAGGGCCACACAATGACATGAACATACTTAATGCCACTGAATTGCACACTTCAAACATGGTTCAAATGGGGGGCGCCTGGGTGGCACAGTCAGTTAAACATCTGACTCTTGGGGTCGGCTCAGGTCCTGATCTCAGGGTCATGAGATCGAGCCCTGTACTGGGCTCCACACTCAGCGCAGAGTCTGCTTAAGATTCCCTCTCCCTCTGTCCCTCCTGTTTGTGCTCTCTCTCTAAAATAAATAAATCTTAAAAAAAAAAAAAGGTTCAAATGGTACATTTTATGTTAAGAGTATTTTACCACACGTTTTTAAAGTAAAAAAGAAAAAAAAAAGTAAGCCTACTTTAAAATATTGTATTTATTTATTTTTTAAGTAAGCTCCATGCTCAATGTGGGGATTGAACTCACAACCCCGAGATCAAGGGTTGCACGCTCTCTGGACCGAGCCAGCCAGGTGCCCTGACTTAAAAATATTTCACAATGTCACAGCTGGAAGGGGCCTTAGGGTCTCTTAATTTAACATTTCCCAAAAGGTGATATGTTTATAACAGGAGGTTGGCAAGACAGGTAAATGTGGAACATGGAGCAACAATTTCTTTTACTGCGATAGTTGTAGGGGATCAGAACATGCCACCCCAAAATATGCCACTGTGGTATAAGAATTGGTTTGAACTGAAGACAACTGAGAAATAGTGAAGAAGTTCTCTGCACCCCCATTTGCCTAAAAGCGGGACATAAATGTCCATCTTAGGTGTCTCCCTCTCCCATGCCAGGAGAAGGAGAAGCACTGGAGACAACAAACCTTACTAAAACAACGTGTATCTTCCCTCATTTCCCTCCCTGTATTTGCCTTCCCACAGTCAGCACCCCGTAAGAGCCTAACCGCCTTCCCTTTGTCTTGTCACTTCCCTACAAAGGAGCTGTCCTTAGTTTTGTTTTTTTTAAGATTTTATTTATTTATTTGAGAGAGAGAGAGAGCTCGAGCAGGGGGGAAGGGTAGAGGGAGAAGCAGACCCCCCACTAAGCAGGGAGCCCAACACGGGACTCAGTCCTAGGACTCTAGGATCATGACCTGAGCTGAAAGCAGATGCCTAACCCACTGATCCGCCCAGGCGCCCCAAGCTGTCCTTGGTTAAGATGCCATATAGGCCCCAACTTCCAACCACACCCTCTGAGTTACTTTCTCCTGCCTGTGTGCATGCTGCCCACGTTAAGAAATTCTGTTTTTCTTTTGTTAATCTGTCTTTGTCAGTTTTATTCTCCCAGCTGGAGAAATCTAAGAAAATAGAGGGAAAGGGTTTTTTTTTTCTCCCCTAAGTAGTTATTTACTTATTTTAACATTTCATTAAAAAGTGCTAACTTTAGGGGCACCTGGGTGGCTCAGTCAGTTATGCGACCGACTCTTGGTTTTAGCTTGGGTCATGATCTTGGAGTCATGATCTCAGGGTCATAATCTTGGGGTTGTGAGACTGAGCGCTGCGTAGAGGTTCTCTCTCCCCCACTGCCCCTCCCCCACCGCCCCCCCAAATAATAAATAAATCTTTTTTAAAAAGTGCTAACTTTCTGGGGGGCCTGGCTAGCTCAGTCAGGAGGGTCATGAGTTCAAGCCCCACACTGGACCTAGAGCCTGCTTAAAAATAAATGTTTTTTTTAAAAAAGGTGCTAACTTTCTGCTGTCAGAAGTGACATAAATTTTTTTCTTTTTAAAATTTATTATTATTTTTAAAGATTTTATTTATTTATTTAACAGATAGAGAGAGAGAGCACAAGTAGGCAGAGTGGCAGGCAGAGGGAGAGGGAGAAGCAGGCTCTCCACTGAGCAGGGAGCCAGACGTGGGGCTCAATCCCAGGACCCCAGGATCATGACCTGAGCCGAAGACAGCTGCTTAACCGACTGAGCCACCCAGGTGCCCCTATCTATTATTTTTTAAAATATTTTATTTATGTACTTTTTTTTTTTCAAAGTAGGCCCATGCCCAGCGTGGAGCCCAATGAAGGGCTTGAACTCATGACCCTGAGATCAAGACCTGAGCTGAGAGCAAGAGTCCATGCTTAGCCAACTGAGCCTCCCAGGCGCCCTTAAGTTTTTTGTCTTTATTTTTTTAAGTTTTCTTTTTAAAAATATACTTTTAAAGTATGTTAGGTAGACATTATAGCGATCATTTCACAGTATATGCAAATATCCAATCATTATGTTGTATACATGAAACTAACATATGTCAATAGCATATATATATATACACACGTGTGTATATATATATATGCTTTTAAGTAAACAAAAGTGAATTGACAAAATATATAAAGGAGATAGTGGTTTAGGTGGTATGCAGATAAGGGGAAATCGTGATGGGGATACAGCAGTGATTGAAGTTTGGGATGCACTAGTACATTCCACGCTCTCTGATTTATAAATGAAGAAATGACTCCCAGGGACATGAGTTACCTGTGGTTACAAAGTTAGTGGCATAGCTGGGGCTGGAACTCTGGGGCCCTGTTACCCAGCTCTTCCCATGAAAAGTGCCGGACATTAACATTTAAGTTATCATTGGTGATTATTACTAATAATAGCACACACTCTAGAACAGTTATTATATGCCAGACATGGTTCCAAGCCTGTTACATATATTATTATTCATTCCTCACAATAACCCTATGAAGTGGGTTACTCTTATCCCCGTTTTACAGATGGGAAAGCTGAGACACAGAGCCCAAAAGCACACAAGTAGTAAGTGGTGGGACCAGGAGTTGAACGCCGGCAGGCCAACTTCAGAGGCTGTCTTCTTAGTCATTACACTCCAGTCCCTCTCAAATAAGTCACCGATATTCACTACAGACACTAGATACTTTAAATAATACCAAGGTGGGTCTTTTTATTCACTGGAATAGCAGGACCATCGCTCCTAACCCTTCCTTCATCTGGGTGAGAGCAGTTGGCTGGGTGCAGGGTGCTGAGTCCTAGGGCCAGCCCCCCTGCTGGGAGCCTCACTGTCCGTGCCCATCCCCTTCACCGCTGGATGGCGTAGGGGTGGGGGCTGGTCAGCTCCGGTCACCTCCACACAGCCCTGGTGTGTACAGATATGGACGCTTGCCAGGATCTGCATGCCTTCTCCATGCTCAAAATGTGCTTTGTGTCTAGGTATTTACGAAAGCGATGACATCAACGCCATCATGTCTGAGATGGAGAAGGCTCTCAACTACTCCCAGAAGGTATGCCTTAGGTGTGGGTTCAATGACTGCACTTCTGTCTTGGGGCTGCCATATAAAGTACCACAAACTAGGCAGCTTAAAGCAAGAGACATTTATCCTCTCAGTTTCAGAGACTGGAAGTCTGAACTCAAGCTTTCAGAGAGGCCATGCTCCTTCTGAGGGCTCTGGGTAGAATCCCTTCTTATTCCTTCCTAGCTTCTGGTGCTGGCTGGTGTTTAAAAAAAATTGCACTGGATGCTTGTTAAAAATGGCAAGGAAGACTTTATCCAAGGCTACTACAGTAGAGGAGAGAGACTGAACTCAGCTCTGAATACAGCCAAGAGAGCTGGGGATTTATAGCCCATTTATAGCCAATATAGCAAAAAGGTCAGTGGATAGAAATGTACTAAAAGGAACTTAATTAGATATTAAGGGTAGGGGGATTCTTGCCAAACAGGCTGAACGGGATTCTTTGCTAAAACTGGGTTTCATAGGCCAAAGTCAAGGCTGAGTCAAGAAGAGCGCTCAGAGGAGCCCACTTGAAGTTCAGTCAAGGACAGAGTCCTTGTCACCAGCAATCCTTGGCATTCCTTGGCTGTGGCAACACAGCTCCCAGCTCTGCCTCCACCTTTGCATGGCTCCCCTCCCCCTGTGTGTGTCTGCATCTCTTCTCCTGAAGGGATGCCACTGCTATTGGATTAAGGGCACACCCTTCTCCAGTATGACCTCATTAACTTACATCTTAATTACATCTACAAAGACCCTATTTCCAAGGACGGTCACATTCACATGGACGGTGGGTTTGGACTACCACATATCTTTCTGGGGGACACAACTCACCCCATATCAGCTTCCCTCCCCATGTCCTGATCCACTGACACCCAAGGCTTTGGATGAAGCATGGGAGTTTCCTATAAGTCATGGTTAAGGTCTGTGTGCTATACATCTTGGCTTCCTTGGAGTTCCTTGAATGCCTGAGCTCATTCCCAAACTCCTTCCTCAACTTGGGGCCTCTGCACCTGCTCTTTTCTCTGCCTGCCATCCCCTCCCAGATGCCCATAGGTTGCTCCTTATCATTCAAGACTCTCTAAAATGTTACTTCCTCAGAGAATGGTGTTGAACAATTCCGGGTGAGATGAGAGGGGTAGAAAGGGGCCAGGTCATGTGAGGAGCCATGAGAACAGGGATGAGGGAACGGACATGAGAGCATTTAAGGAAGAACTGACCACATTTATGGCGATGGAACGCATGGGGTGGGGAAGAATTCCAGAGTAACTTTCAAGTTCCTTGCTGGGGGACCTGGTAGACAGTGGTGCCATTGACCAAGAGAGAAGTAACAGGAGAGGATCCTGCCGGGGATGCGGAGAGGGTGGGCCTAGGACAAAGGTGAGTTTGTGGTGCTTGTGAGCTGTGGGTCCTTGAGAGAGGGGGAGGAGTTAGAGGCTGGAGGTAGATGTGGAGCAGTTCAAGCCATGGGGGTAGACAGATAGCATGAAGGGGGTCATGGTCAAGGGAGGGGGAGGGAGGAAGAGCCCGTGAAGGAGACCCGGCCTGACACATTTTCACTGCAGCCATTTGCAGGGCAACATGCCCCGGACTACAGTGTGAGCTCCTGAGAGGGCAGGGCCACTGGGCTGGCCCATCTGTGGCTCCCCTGGCCATGCCTCAGCTGCCCTCCCTGGAGCGATTCCTCTCTAGTGCTTTGTTTACCCTTCTCAAGTGCACCTTCGTCTGTTCCCTCATCTGACAAACGTTCACAAAGTGTTAGTGGGCAATAATGGGTTAACCCACCCTGCCTAGGACATGATTTACTTTCAAATGGTGTCTTCATGCTTTGAGAATTACTGGAGAAGCTTTCAGGCAGTTGAGAAATGTGTTGGCAAAAGGAACAAGTATTATTACCACTGTTCTGCCAGCATTGGCCCTGGGTATGTGGTGAGCTGATGGGTGTATGTGGATGCTGGGTCCACGTATGGAAAGCACTGGCTTTGGAACCAGATCCACCTGGATTTGAATTGAAGGTCCCTACAAACGAGTAGTGTGGCCTTGGGCACGTCCCTTAAACTCATGGAGCTTTGGGTTCCTCGTCTGCAAAATGGGACTAAAAGCATAGTTGGCATGCCTTGTTGGCAAGAGGGTTTGAGACCCCCAGGCATCAACTAGCTCAGTGCCTGAGGCATCTCAATAATACATGGGACTTATTATTAATAGGATTGATCCCTAGTGCTCTCAGCCCCAGGAGGCATTCTAGGGACAGAAAGAGGAGTCCAGAGGCCCCAGTGGACCCAGTCTCTCCTGCTGTGTGTGTGTGTAAGCGGGGGGTATCCCCTGCTTGGAGGCACATCGTGGCTGGGGCACCGCTAACCCTCCCAATCCCCATTGCAGTGTGCCTTACTGGTGTCCTCCCTGAAGAACCAGTCTGGAAAAGAACTGGAAAGTGCAGTCCTCCTGAAAGAAAAGCCAAAGATGTTCAAGCAAAGAAATCAGCCCAAGAAACTCTGTTCTTCCAAACCCACAACTCCCTCGGTGGCCAGAATGGTTTGACTCCCCTCCCTAATAACACACAGAGGACTTTGTTGCCACCTTGTCTCCTGGTCTCTCCTAGATCTTGAAATGGCCTGGGCCAGGCCCCCAGACCCCAGGGCCAGCAGGGGTGGGGGCAGGGGCAGGGTGCTCAGGGGTGAGTGTCTCAAGGGTACCTCCAGCCCTGGCCTCGCAGGGGAGGAACTCCTCTGGGGGACCTGCTTCTCAGCTCTGGGGGCATCTCTGGCCTCCTTCTCACTCACCTTTGACTCTGCCTGGCCATCCCAGCTTCGTTCCCTAGCCGGTACTAGGGACCTCATGGAACTGGCACGCACCATGACATCTGACGGTTGTAAGGCAGGAGGGCTTGTCCGGGTGGATCTCTCGGGGGCAAAGGAACTAGGGTATTAGGGTATTGGGCTCCTGCTACCACTGCCCAAGGCTTGGCGGGGGCCCATAGGACCCTGAGGGTGCACCTGTGTCTTCTCCCCGTCACAGCCTGTCACATCTGCCTGCATAAAATATCCACCCCACTGCAGAAATCAGAGGGACCCCAGAGGACCCCAGACTCCAGTGCTTGTGAGCAGACAGGCAGATATCTGGAGCCCTTCAGCACGTCACTGACTGACAGAGCCTTGTGAACACAGTGCATTTGCAGAGTGAGGGAATCCGTCCGGATCCCATGGAGCTTACTGCCGTCTCATTCGGAGAACTCCATCAGGTTCCAGGAGCCGGCCCAGAGGCCAATTCTGGGATGAAACCCGAAAGTCTCGGGGGCTGCCTCTTGAGCCTTCAGTGCTTCCTGAGCTGGTTCAGCCTCCCAAGAGCCTCCTGGAATGAGGGCCGGGGGCTCCCTCGGATGGCAGCAACCAGGCCTTTTCCACAACAGCTCGCCCAGTGATGTGAGCTGGTCCAGGGCCCCGGGTGACTTTGTTCAGCCATCGTCACTTTCCCCTTGTTCCCAGTGAGGAAGAACTCCTCCCTTAGAACCAAGGTACCCAGTAGGGCATAGAATTTACCTGAATGGTTGTTTATCATGCTGGAGGCCCAGAAATCCCAGTCCAGTAGGAAGAAGGGCAGGTAACTGAAGAAAGTTCTGGCAAATCCCATGGCTGTCCTAGCATGCCCTCCCTCACTGTTAAATACGCACACACACACACACACACACGCACACACACGCACATGCACACATACCCCACATACCTGTACACTTTTTTTAACCTCAAAACCCACAGTCTCCTCTAAATCTGCAGCAGGAGATGGAAAAACATGTCCGAGATTCTGCTCCCATTGGCTCCTCCCTGCACAGGTTCCTAATGGTCAAACTGAGACTGGGGTTTCATCCTAGAATTTGGGAAGGCAGGGGAAAGTGAGGTCTCTGGGCTGGCTCCTGGAACCTGGTGGAGGTCTTTGAATGAGGACAGTGCCTGTGTGGACAGGACCTCCTGGACACACAGCCCCTGGGATGGGAGTAAGCTACACACTGTCTGGGCCTCTCACAGAGAACAGGCCACTGATGGGAAAGACTGCCTGTTTTCTAGAGCCTTAAAGACAACCCTGACAGAGAGAAGAGCTCCTCCCTGCAAGCTCTGACTTGGGGGCCCCTCAGCAGCAAAGCAGGCGCCCCACCAGGTAAGGCCAGTGGGTGGAGGGGGTGGGCGGCCCTGGCCGAGAGGTGAATCAATTACGACAGTAACTGGAAATGATGGATGATCATGAGTCTTGATCACGTGCCAGGCCTTCCGCTAAGATTGTCCCATCTAAAGCTTACAAGCATCCCTCCTGTGTGACAGGTCATCTATCAGTTCCCCGTTTTGCTGATAAGGAAATTTGGGCCCAGAGGGGCTAAGGATAAATGACGGGTGCTAGCTGATCGTGACAGGGCTTCAGTATGTTTATTAAAGTATTCAGCGCACAGCACCAAGACCTTGTATCTTATTTCCAATGTCAGAGACATAGCAGAACGGTCCAGAGCAGAGTGATGGAGTCAGCAAGACCTGGGTGGAATCTTTGCTCTGCCCTGACTGCCTCTGAGTCCCCCTTACCTCATCTGTAACCTGGGGCACTGTGAGGATAACACGAGACAGGGGTACAGAAAGCTCTTAGCACCCCCGCGCCTGGGTTATATGGGTACTGGGTAAATGGCAGTTCAAACTACTGCTGCTCCAGGGGAGGCCAGAAGACCTGGGGTAGTCCCAAAGGACCTCAAAGCCATCTTGGAGCCTGATTTCGAGGATACAGCATAGCTGAAATCGACAAGTCTCTAAGACAAGCTGGACAGCGTCACTGCGTGACCCCATGAGGCTGCTCCAGCCAACAGCCCCCTTGTCCCCTAGCTGCAGCCCAGCCCATGAGAGAAGGGACTGCAGAACGGAGGAGGAAGACCAAATGGAGGGAAGCAGAGACCTCTCTCTCACTGTTTTATACAGAGTCGGGGAATAACGTGGGTGAGTAGGAGGCTACACGAACATCTGGACAGCCCCGTCACCCTGTGGGGACTGCAGGGTCAGCAGGCCCCGCGGTAGGGAGACCCTCTCCAGCTGTCCCAGGACATGGGCTGCAGTGCCTACACTCAAGCCACTCAGGTCTCCCAGCCTGGGGAAATGGGCGTGCAAATTCTCGACGCCACTCACCCTCCATCCATCAGAGGCAGTGTCCTCCGCTCTCAGGCTGATTGGGAAATGGGGAAGGGAGTGGAGATGAGTGTCCTTGGGTCCCTACCGCCCCACCATTGATTACTGTGAAGTGGTACAAATGGGGCTGGTACCCAGGAGTGATTCACTGAGCTGTGGTGAGCGGAGCTTGCAGTCGGGTTCCCCTGATCCACCTAACAGCCTCCCTTCTACCCTTCAGCAAATTGCACCTAAGGAATTTTGCAGCTGATTTGATTGACAGAGAAATTAACATGCAACATGAAGCCCAAGGCGGGAGGGAAGGAGGGAAAGGGTGGAGGGAGGGAAGGTGTACAAGATAACCTCACTCTGAATTCTTAATCGCAGGAAACAAACTGAG